TTTTCGACTTCTTGTTAAAAACTGTAAGTCCAATTGCTTTGATACTATTCATATTGTTCATTTTCTAATGATGTCTTCACTTCTTTAATTGAAATGTGCATTGCTAACAGCGGAGCTATCTCAGCCGATAGGCTGCTTGTTTTTCTTTTAATTTCGGCGGAAGAATGTGGTAACATGTTACCTGACCACCGGACAGGGAAGTTTGAAATTCAACCAGTCCGATACGAAAGTTACCCGTCTCGGGCGTGCGGACGGGCAGGAATTTCCTACACTGTCTACATGTGGACCTCTCTCAGATTTGTTCATTTTGTGATGATATCTTCAATTCTCTAATTAATTTATTTTGGTGAATATTTTTGTAATTTTTGGTAAAAAGTGATATTTTCGACTTCTTGTTAAAAACTGTAAGTCTGATTGCTTTGATACTATTCATATTGTTCATTTTCTAATGATGTCTTCAGTTCTTTAATTGAAATGTGCATTGCTAACAGCAGAGCTATCTCAGCCGATAGGCTGCTTGTTTATGAAGAACTTGACACATGAACCATTGTCATGTGATTCAAAATAAACGTACGCTCGTAAAACGTGACATCCTGTTGCATGCGTCACCACCATGCATTTCTGGTGATTCGTACCAGGAATCACAACACATAGTACCAGGGACTATTTCAACAAAACATGAATCTTCATCATGTTTACTCCTAACATGACATAAACATTACTACATGCATGTAGAGAGGAAAACGAATGCTTTGAAGCAATTGATATAAATTGGAATTAAAAAGCATCGCATTCAACAGTTTGAGTGACTTTGGCACTATGTTTTTAAAAGTTAATTTCCACCATATATGGATGCCATGATGCAATCTCAACTAAACAGATAACGAGTATTTTTTTTTTTTTTTTGGCAGATCATCCTACAGAAGTCGAAGCAGAAGTCGTGAGCGTGAATCCAGGAATGATCGCTACAGAAGTCGAAGTCGTAGTAGAGACCGTAGAGACAGGGATAGTCATCAAAGAAGTCTGAGTAGAGATCACAGAAGAAGCAGGAATGGTCGTAACCGAAGTGAAAGTCCTAGTCATAGTGTCAGTCCTAGAATGCGAAGTTTAAGTCATGATGGTGGCAGTGGCAGCGCCCATAGCCGTAGTAGGAGTCGGTAGAAACATTCTTTCTATTCTCAATGTTTCTCACAAAGATATTGATTTTATTTCACCAAGATGTTCTCTCAAAATGCAATATTTGGATTGGATATATCTTTTCTATTATTACCAAGTATCGTTTCTGAGATTTCTTGAAATATTTCTAATGAATGCTACTAATTGTGGGGAAGTCTACATTTATTGATTGGGGAAAGGATATTTAAAACAAATATCAGGGAAATAGTTTTATTTTTGTGGAAAGATGTTAGGGCAGGGATGCACTTTGATTCTTTGCGTCCAGTGTTTTGGAAATATTCCAAAAATATTTAATTTTGTACTCATAGTTTGTACAATGCAGCTGTGTAATGGTTGCCTATTAACATTAAGTTTTTATTGGAATATATAGTTTAAATCAGGTAATATTTTAAGAGGAAGACTTCGTTTTTGTTAATTTGCATACTGCATAAACTCGCAATTTATATATACTCAAATGCTGTGTTGAGTTCGCATAATTGTTTACTGTATTTGTATTTTTCAATAATGTAAAATTTATTTGTAAACTCCAAGGGATATAAGGAGCTAAAAAAAACTGGAAACAAGTGCAGCCTCATTATATAAGGTACACTTCAAAAATGACTTAAATAGTTTATTTCCCAGTTGTGATGAGAAAATGATGGGAAGAATTAAAGGGGAAGTCAAGCCAAACAACATAATGCTTCCCAAGGAAAGACCTCCATAAGTGTGGGAGAATGCAATTTACAGTTTTTCACTGAAGATATTGCCTAAAGCTTAATAACAATAAAAATCCTTATTTTAATCGTTAAAAGTAGAATGACACATTTTTGTCCCCTTTTTGTGGTTAACTGGTTACATATCGCCCATATAACCTACTAGCATTGATAAATTGTATACAATACAAGGAAATGTGAGCATTTGCATGCTACCATATTCTAAACTTTCAGCCAATTTTGAAGTTATAGATGAAATCATTTTCTCAATTTCTGACAACAGTGGATATGATGTCATACTTTACCCATAATTAATGAAAAGTTAAATATCTAGAGAATGAAAAGTGATATGAAAAAGCTGTAAATTGCATGTTACATTTGTCAAGCTCTTTCATCTTGGAGTATTATGTTAGAATTGAGTTTTCCTTTAAGCACTTGTTTACACATGTTGCACACACCTGGGTTTAGCAAAGGGCCAACTTTGCAGACACTTCAAGGACTAAATATGTACATTGTAATCTTGTCGCTTGCTCAAAGGTAGCAGCAGCAGTAGAGAAAGTGAAAAATTGATCTTTGGTTCAAACATTGTTACTATAAAAATTTGTTCTAGTTCATATTGCTTCTTTAAAATGCCGTGTTTTTGTATATTGATGATGCTTTGGTCTAAAGGGAAAATGCTTATTTTTTATCAGAACTTTTGTACTGCAACACCTTTGATTTGACACCCCCTCCCCATTCATTGTCTATCTTCTGTGTTCTCCCCAATTATAACCTTATGACAAATTCAGTGTGTTTCTAAAATGACACTGAACTGCAATAATGTGACAATCAAAATCCTGGATGATATTGAAATGTATTCTACATGTACTTAAAATTGCTTTAGAATGCACATTTTGATTTTTTTTCTGATTTGATAAGTTGCAATTGCTTCTATAAATTGCTTCTATAAAGTACATTATTAATCCAAACATTGGATTTGTTTTAGGATTGTTTATATCATAACTGATATTCTTTTTTACTTGTAACTTTATGCAAGGTTTCATGTGGAAACATAAGATTGAAGATTTTGGATTACTCAGATCATGTACCCAAAAGTTTATTTGTTTTGATTCAATCCTTGGATACTGTTATTCTACAGAATTAGTACAAACTTTTGCAGGTTTGTGACTTGCAACTTGATTTTATCCATGACCTGGTATCAACGACTTGATTACCTTGTCATTTTGTTCTCTGATTAAAACCAGTGTGACTGGATGTTAGTCTGTCTTGTTTTTGAAAGCCATTGCTCTAATAGGTCCACAACCACTGATTGAATTTAACTGCTACGTATGTGTATGGGATGCTTTATTTGGATGGTTCTTGGGTGTCATTGTCGTGTGTGAAGGTCTTTTTAGTAAACTATTTCAGAATGTGCCAACAAACGTTACCACCCCCCCTCCTTCCACAATAGAAAGGATTTAATATGTAAATCAATGCAAGATGTAAAAGTATTTTAAAGATGTATATTAGGTTTGTCTTTGTCACATTCAAATGAGTGATCTTGATGGGTACATTTGTTTCTATTCTTGTCTTGTACATTTATAATACAACTGCCTTCATTTATTCTCTTGTATTTTACTATTTTGGAGTAGATCGTCAAATGGTTTTTTTTTCTAACTAAGGACTTTCACAATTTCAATTTTTTACGCAAGATTAGGTTTTGCCAATATATGCACACAGTAGGCATCCATCGCCTGTGCTATGTACCATCTTAAACACAATTTCATTTTGCTCAATCTGTATTTCATAATATTTGGTAAAATTTATCATGTATCAATTTGCATATTCTGTTTTGTTTCAATATTTGAATGCCAGTTGACAAAACATACCAATTTGTATTTTGTTTGAAGTCAGATTGATGTACAGCCTACGTCAGTACGTTTGTTTATATATGTATATAAAAATAACTTAACAGTGACCAAAATGTATGCTTACAACAAACTTATCATTCCAGAAAACTAGCATACAAAGAATTCATCTCTATAGTATTTATGGATTGATATGAGACTTCATAACATCCTGGTGTTTTGTTGTATTGGGTGTACTTTAATCTCCAGGAATTCTCCTACTCGCAAGCAAAGCTTCCTTTTAGTATGCATTTGGTATCTTTGCCAAAAAACACAGGTTAAGAATAAAATTTACTAGGTTTTGATTTATGATCATTGCCAAAGTCACAATATAGATAGATGAATGGCTCTGTTAAAGTACCATTGATGTCTCTCCATTTGGGGTATTCAATATGAGTTCCATGCAATGCTTATAAAAATGGTTGAACATGTGGCAATTGTGGTGCTTTAAATCTCATCCTGGAATAATTTTGTACTTGACAACATGCACTAGTTTTGTATGTATCACTTTTATACTGCATAATTTGAGGCCTCATTCTTATCCTCTTTGTAATAAGACAACAGCCAACACAAAACTAAAGTCTTTGCAATGAAATCTTTGTTCTACAGATGGATGGCTGTGCACAGATTAATGAAGTGAGCAGCAGAGTTTTGGATAAATCACTGTAATGCATTTGTAAATGCCTCCCATTCGTTAGATTTTGTAATAAGAAATTCTATTTTGGTATGTCTTCTGTTTCTTTTGCATCAAATGCTTTTTTTTGAGATTTATTCTACCTTGTATATTCAGTGGTATTTGTAGTAAAGTTGTGATGTTTAACGTTTTTTGTCTTTTCTTGTTGGAATAGAAGATAATGCACATTCATTCTTGTGTCTAGAATAGATAGATTCCCATTGCCACAGTCACTTTGAAATCTACTTCCCATCACCTGAATCTCCCACATGCCATTTTCAATCACAATCAAACTCCACAAATACATCGCGCATCTTGGACGACGTGTGCACATCCAGTAGTTTCATGATCCAATAAAAAAATGGCCGAATGTTGACCATTTTTACCTTGTCTGCATCATTGTAGGTGAAAGGCAAGGTATACGAGGGGAAAATGTCTCTTGTCGATGAATATTTTTCACTGTTGCAATAACTCTCAGTTTCGACTCCAGTGTGCAAAGCACACAATGGAAGTTTTTGCAGTTAGCGGTGGAACAGTCGGACACACATACACACTATCTCAATAACTACATCTGTTTTTGATGAAACTTGGGGCAAATGTGCAGATTTGATTAGGTTTTGGTATAAATCCATGCATATTAATTACCTAATTTGCATTATAATTAATTTTAGCTGTTCTTTGGCTGTGCCACTGATATCTAAATACTAATTGGATTTTGGTGAAACTTGGCACATGTATGCTCTAAACTAATGCGCAGATTTGATAAGTTTTTTGTAAAAATCTGTGCATATTAATATTTCAAGTAGTAATGAATCTTAGTACATAGATACTCGAGGACTATCCAGAGGTCAATTGTTTTGAGGTAAATATGTGTGCATATTAACCACCTAATTTGCATAATTAGTTTTCATCTTTTTCACTGATATCTCAAACTGCTCATCACATTTCAATGAAACTTGGTACAGATTCTCTTGGGTATGCAGAGGCCTAATTAGTTTTTGGGCAAATATTTGTGTATATTAGTCACCTAATTTGCATAATTAGTTTTTGACTCCTGTGTGTGAAGCACAAAAAGGGAGTCTTTGCAGTTAGTGTGTCTGTATGTATGTGTGCGTGTCCGCCTGTTCCACTGATATCTCAAGAACCATACATCAGTTTTTGATGAACCTTGGTGCATAGATGCTCTGGGCCAATGCGCAGATTTGATTAGGTTTTGGTAAAAATTCATGCATATTAATTATCTAATTTGCATGATAATTAGCTGATTTTTAGCTGTTCCACTGATATCTAAAGAACCACTCATTGGATTTTGATGAAACTTGGCACACAGATGCTCCAAACTAATGGGCAGATTTGATTAGTTTTGAGTAAAAATCTGTCCAATATAATTACCTAATTTGCATAATGATTAATCAATTTTCGGCTTTTCCACTGATATCTCAAGTACTAATCATCACATTTCAATAAAACTTGGTACATAGATGTCATAGGACACTGCACAAACCTCATAGTTTTTACGGTAATATCAGTAGATATTAATTACCTAATTTGCATAATTAATTAATTTTCAGCTTTTGATATTTCAAGTAGTAATCATCACATTTCAATGAAATTTGGTACATATATGTCATAGGACACTGCACAGACCTGATAGTTTTTAGGGTAATATCAGTATATATTAATTACCTAATTAGCATAATTAATTAATTTTCAGCTTTTGATATTTCAAGTAGTAATCATCACATTTCAATGACACTTGGTACATAGGTGTCATAGGACACTGCACAGGCCATGATAGTTTTTAGGGTAATATGAGTACATATTAATTACCTAATTTGCATAATTAATTTTCAGCTTTTGATATTTCAAGTAGTAATCATCACATTTCAATGACACTTGGTACATAGATGTCATAGGACACTGCACAGACCTGATAGTTTTTAGGGTAATATGAGTACATATTAATTACTAATTTGCATAATTAATTAATTTTCAGCTTTTGATATATCAAGTAGTAATCATATTTCAATGAGACTTGCTACATAGATCTTCTAGGATTATGCAGAGACCTAATTAGTTTTAATTGGATATTAATTACCTAATTTGCATAATGTTCCACTGATATATAAAGAACCACAAATTGGATTTTAATGAAACTTTTAAAGAGAACTATGCAGAAACCCAATTAGTTTTTGGTAAATATTTATGCTTATTAATCACCTAATTAACATAATTAATTAACACTGATAGCTCAATTACTGATCATCACATTTGAATAAAATTTGGTACATAAATGCTCTAGGACAATAGACAGGCCTGATTAATTTTGGGTTAAAATTTGTTCATATTAATTCTCTAATTAGCATAATAATTTATAATTTTTTTGTTCTGTTCTGTTTATATTAGTTACCTGATGTACATAATTAGTTTTCAGCTTTTCTATCAATATCTCATGTACAGGTAATTTTGAATTAATTTTTAATGTGTCTTCAATACTCTCAGCACACGGGAGTTCTTTCTAAGCTTTCTTTGATTGTTATTTGATTCAAAATATCCATCTGGTTTTTTAGTGTTAATTATACAGTATTGTACATTGTACAGTATGAGAATGATCATATTACTTTGACTGAACAAAATCTGAATAATGTGCCACCATAAAGTAACACCATATTTTAACATGCTGCATACTTTTCTAATGTTTGATTATAATTTATATACATCTTTTATTTTGCATAGCAGTTTAACATGACCATGGTTTGTGCAGGTTTTTCTTACATTAGCATATTCTTTGTAAATATCAAAGTTGCTGTAGTCATGCCAGAGTCAATGACCTATTAATTAAGTAGGATATATATCTATATGACTGTCAGTGCTATGAATAGACTGGTATTAACACTTTTACAGCACTTGTAATATCTTTCATTTCATAGTTAAATCCTTTGTCATCAAATCCACTGGTTTGACACATAGCATCTCCCGACACTTAGATGAAAGGGAAGGGTTCATTTCCTGATAGCATGTTTTGCAAGTGTAATCATTCACATACTATTCATAAATTATGTAATTGCTGTAGTTGGTTTCTAATTTGAACATGTATGTTTATAGACGAGAGAGAGACAGGGAGAGGGAAAGAGAAGAAAGGGAAAGAGAGAAAGAAGAAGAAGAAGAACTCTATGAAAGAAGAAGATTGGAAAGAAAACTCAGAGAGAAAGAATCCGCATATCAAGAGGTAGGACACCATTGGACTATTCTGTTTACCTGACATTGAAATTGTACTCACTCACACACTCA